CCCAAGCCACCCCCCCCCCCCCCCCCCCATAATACTTCAGAACGTCACAGTCCAGGCGGGTTCCGATTGGCCCCCCCAAAACATTATAATAACAATATCAAAGTCATTACAGAGAGATGAAGACGCACGCACACACGAACGCACGCACACGCCCAGAGCGGGAACACGGCGACCCTACGAGAAAATCGCAAGGGCGGCGGCTAAAATGACAGCCGGCAACATGGCGGCACGACAGAGGTCTTAAAGGGGAACTACAGTCATAAATATATATAATTTTGTTTCCCCGCCGCGACATATTTGATATATTGTTAGTGTAACCGCCGGCCGGGGCGCAGATGACGCGGCGGAATGACGGGCAGATCCTTATCTGTAAACGGCTGATCTCCTGAGCGAGCGATAATCTCCCTCCAAACCGCACACGCAGCAATGGACTGAGAAGGGACTTAACCCGCGCGGTGCCGGGGAGCTTTAGGCGGGGGGGGGATGGGCGATGGATACAGACCGCACATCACCTCCGCGCTCCCCAGACCGCACATCACCTCCGCGCTCACCAGACCGCACATCACCTCCGCGCTCCCCAGACCGAGATTACAATTTGCTTTCGCGGCGGGAACGGTAAAGTGAAGCCGATTAATGAGCCGCAATCGTCGCATCTGGTGCTCCGCCCACTTTAATCCGCCCGGCTACCGCATTGGATGAGGCGTGCGGCCAATCGCTCGTCACCCGACGGAAACCCTCGGATTAAAAATCGCTCGCTTTGTGGAAGCAGCGGCCTCTCTGCAGGGATCCGACACCCCCCCCTCCCCCCAATGCTCCCTGCTGACTGAAGAATGATCTCTGACCTCTGCAGAGAGGCCGCTGCTTACACACACAGGGTAATGGTCTTTCTCTACTGGCAGAGGCTCTTCTACGGAGGACGTGGCGGATTCTTAAAGGAGACCCTCTGTAACATATTGCACGTTTTTGATTTTGGCTGAAAGTTTAAATTTGGTATTTAAAGGGCCAGTTCACCTTTTGTAGCAGAATTTTAGCCTCTTTGTGCCCCCTTTTACCTACCCCGTCCCCCATGTGACGGCAGTGAATCCACATCCGGTCAATGTCAAAAGATGCGGGCTTCCTCCCGGTCACGTGACAGTCTAGTGCAGCGGGCGGGAAACCTCGGCACCCCAGCTGTTGTGGAACTACAAGTCCCATGAGGCATTGCAAGACTCAGACAGCCCACAGGCGTGACCCCCTCGCCCACCCCAGAGCCATGATGTAGCTTCATCACAGCTGGCGTGCCGAGGATGCCCACCCCTGGCCTAGCGAACTGCAATGCCCGACGCGGTGGGCGGGGCCAGTGGGCGGACTTGCGTGGCGCGCACAGGCGGCTCTGCCAATCTTCAGACCGTCCCGATTAGATACCGGTAAGACATATCTGGACGCTGGGCAACTGCTGGACCCGTTGGGCCGCCTCCGGAACCATCCCGGGACAGAGGTTCTGCGTTAGGTTAGTGGAACGTCGTTCAGCTACAAAG